CTCTTTCAAATATTAAAGAAATTTCCACAATCAAGGAATGTCACAACAGTCCAATGACCGTGCTGACTCCTTAAAAAATGGTTCTATATAAACCAAAGGAAGCGCCAATAATTCGCAGTCTTGGGTCAGCATAAAGAAGTCTACGCGCTGAATTATTGTATTTAATAATCGACAGTCTTCGCCGCGAAATATACCCGCTGTCTTCAGTTGCTAATTAAAACTCGTGAATCGCTCGTCATTAATTAGCTATTGAATATTCGGAGTTAATTCGATCGAAGGGTGATTTTATAAAGTTAAAAAAAAAAAAAAAAAAGAATCCACGCGTTGAATCAAAATTATTAATTTCGAAATTCCAGTGTACTCAAGTTTTTTTTTTAAGATAATATACATATATTTCGTAGTGTTCAAAGAGGAAAAGCCTTGTTTTATATTCATGTGAATGTGTAAGGACTGAGAAGTGTATCTTCGAACAATAATCTACCGAAGTACTCTAATTGGTAAGCTACATTGTAACCACAATTAATTCTTATTCATTTATATATAAAATAAAAGAATATCAAGTTTAATTAAAAGTATCATAAATTATTTCTACGCTACCTACAATTTACCTGACGAGACGCTATTGCGACTAAGTGAACGACCCACATAAAATAAGATCAATTTAAACCTTGATCAGTTGTTGTGACTCCGAAGAAGAGAATATTAATTTAAATTAATTTTCTTTAACAATATTTACAACATTTCTTTTCTTGATCTTGGCGAGCACGTTGAAGGGTTAAATAATTGTCTTGATCAAAGCTGGAATTTTAAGCAAAAAAGACGAAAGAGACGCATTTTTTCGAAATTACAAAATGGGGCTATTAGGAACAAGACGGTAAAAACCATTGGAAAACGTGTTTAAAGTTAAAGAAGTTATTTTTTTTTGCTTGAAAGTGAGAATACACAATACAAAACAAATGTAAAAACAAAACTAAAAGAGCGAATGTGTGTTTTAAGTATTGCAATTGATTTAACGTTTTACATATTTCTTAGAATTGTTAAAATTTCGACATCCATTCTTACATATATTTATTTATACACTCATCTTTTTGCCTTAATACTAGTGTTTACAAGTGTCCCCGAGGAAATTTTCTTACATACCATGAACTTATTCTAAATTTTTGCGCCTACAGAACGACTTGAGAATTAGGAGTACTCGCATTTGCCTGGACCAGCCGTCTAATGGGTTTTCTCGCCAGTAGAAAAAGAAACTGTAGAAAACCTCTTCTGAGTACAACCGGTTTATTGACAGTCGACAGGTGTGTACCGGACACACCCGCTCAGATTATCTCACGTACCGGAAAAATAATAAGCCAAATGGGCGCGAACCAAGGGTACTTAACCTTGGCCCTTAAAAGTCCGCCAAGCGAGGCATCTATCCGACTGAGCTAATCTGTCGGTTCATCCATTCTTACATTTGTGGTACGATATCACATTAAATTTTCTAAATATTACTAAAAAGAATGAAATTAGTGTGAAAAATACTTTATTGAAGTATTATTGCTTCTGTTTGACGATAACTTTACTATTTGGAAATATGATACAAACCAATTTAAAAAAAAGTTTTATGAGAAATAGTATTCAATGTTATGATTTGTTTAATTCACAAAGTAGACAGAAAATCTGCCAATAATTGTTAAGTAATTATTAGATAAGACTATGTAAAAATTATGCATAATTTGTTAGTCTTTTTTTAAATGACATTGAATAAATTTGGCACAATTAATTAAAATTATTACAAAATTTATTTATTTTCCTACATTATATTAAATGTAATCAGGCTTCTTATGTTATGGCAGTTGCGCTTAGCAAGTATTCACGCGCGTTTGTTTAAGCTAGTTTAATTATTATTTTCCAAAAAATTCAAAATAAAATTCTACTTTAAATCAAGTTTTAATAATTTTTAAAATACTTCTTCTTTGAGAATTTTTAAATCCATTTTACTACAATTCTATTATACGTGAAATTTTAAGTATTCGGAAGTTCTTCAATTATATACATTAGAAAATAAAAACATGAAATCATTTTTAAATTGCAATTAAGCTTTTTGAAAATAAAATTAGTTCCATAGAATTTTTGATTAAAAGTATAAAAAATTCAAATTTTCAAAGATTTTAATTCAAAACTTTCACAAAATTCAATTATTTCTAAAAAATTGCAATTATTAGTAACTTCTCTAAAATTCAGTTATAACCTATCTAAAACTTTAACTGAAATTTATTTATAAATCAATTAGGGTAATGTCACATTGAGTGGACCGCCACTTTGAGTGGACCACCTGAGCTTTTAAGTTATCTGACAGCGGAAACATAAAATAAATAAAACGAATAGCAGCACCGCACCTAGAAACCGTAAGAAATTAAGTTTCGCGATAAACATGTACGTTATTGTTTGATGTAACGCATTTTTAAGAATACAAATCAAAAAAAGAAGTCGCTCTTACAATGAGTAAAGTGATTCAGAAGTGTAAAAGTAGTGTAAAATTTAAGTTTTAAAAGGTAACTTATTTTTTTCCTACTACTTTGGACATTGAAATTGATTGTCTTAGTTTAATTAAGTGATAATTTTGACTCAAAAAAAAATTGTGGTGGCTGCTATAAAAAGTTGTATTTGACTATGAGTGGACCACTGTTTATAACCATGAGAGGACTTCCTGTTTTTTAAATTTTTAATGTCAGTTTACAATTTTTAAGGAAATAAATTGACAATAAATTGGTTTGAAACTATGTTTTATGTTCTTTATTAATTTTTTTGTGATATTGATGTGATATGTGCCAAAATTATTAAAAGTGGTTTCACTTGTAAACATTGCGACACAATCATGGTCTAAAGCTGCATAAGCATAAATTTTGTTTTAATATATCAGAAATATTAAATTAATTAAAGAAAATATAATAACTTTTACAATTTTTTAGGAGTGGTCCACTCAAGGTTACACTTTTTTCATTCCTTAAAAATTAGCTATTTTTTAAAAGTCAATTGTTTTTTCCAAATAAAAATTAAACAAAGCTATTATAGTGTAAACACTTACCTAGGGATCTAAACTAAAGCATGGAATAGAAACCTCCGATTAATTTGCTTTCATAAAGAATTTTTTCGAAAAAAAGCTTAGGCGGTCCACTCAAGGTGACATTACCCTATTATTAGAAAATTCTATGAGAATTAAATTATTTAAAAACAAACATAGATAATTTAGTGAATAATTAAATGTTTCTTAAAATTGAATTCTTATACATAATTCTATCAACAAATTTTTAAATAATTGTATTCTTTCGACGAATTTTAATAACATTTTTACGAATAATTTTACTGTTTTTAAGGAATTCAATTGAAATTTTATTAAAAATAATTTTTTTTGAGGGAAGTGGAAAATCTGCAAACAGATACCAAGAAGCCCGTACTTCTTGGTTATGTGGGGATGGCAGCTCACGCTGACCCACTAAAAACCACACCCTTACTCCAGACCATAGCATCCACTTGCGGAACTAACTTTTGGCTTTTAACTTCGCAAGCAGTGGTCCCCTTTTAAGAAAAAAAGTTTCTTCCATTTCCAGAGTCCTATAAACTGGAGGCACGCGAGGGAGGGAAGAGACTAAAAATTTGTCTCCTCCCGCCATCGCGCGCCCTAGCTGAGCTTCAGGATTCTCCGTTACTACTTTTTCCTGCCATCCACATCTTTAGTCCTCATTATTAAATTAATGAATGACTCGATATGGTGACAGGATTTAGCGCTTTTCCACATAATAGAGACCATGTTGTCATCTATGAATTGAGTTTTCACCGCGTCAAACATGGCTCTTCTAAGTTCACTCCATTGCCCGCAGAAGAAGAGAGTGTGTTCCGCGTCGTCAATTTCAGCGTCGCAATACACACATTTTGTCTTTTCTCTGATCTTGAATCTATGGAGGTATTGACCGAAGCAACCATGCCATGACATTGCTTGTGTAAGGTAATAGCCAACTTCTCCGTGCTTTCTTTGTAACCAGGTGGCGAGGTGAGAAATCAGGCGGTATGACCACCTTCCTTTGGATTCCCCATCCCATCTTTCTTGCCAACTTTCAATGAGTCTGCTTCTTGCCGCTTTTCGGATAGCCCTTTTTCGGCTACCGCTGTTTCTTTGTTCCTGCAAGTTATCTCGGTCTTTGTTGAGTAGAAAGACTTCCTGTCTTTCTCTCGCCAACAAGTCTGTTGGCGGAAGGCTCGCGAAAACTAGAACAGCGCAAGCAGACACCGTTCTATAGGCCGAGACTACTCTCCGTGCCGAAGTAATTTGCACAGAGATTAATTCGTCCAAGATGCCGCGAGTCTTAAGGGCTTCAACCCATGCAGGGTCAGCATAAAGCTGCTTTGATAGACCCACGGTCGCCACCAAGCGCCGTTACTTTTCCCTGGGACCACCGATATTAGGCATTAGCCGTGATAGGCTGCGCATACATTCGGCAGCCTTGAGTGCTATGATGTTAGTATGTTAACTAAAGTTTAACCTTTTATCCAACAGCACTCCCAGGTACTTAAAATTTTTTCCCCATGAGACTTCTATTCCTCCCACTTTTACCTTTGGAGCATCAAAAACTCTCCGATCTGTGACGAGCAAGGCTTCGGTCTTTTCCAAAGCCATTTGCAGGCTGTGCTTTTTAAGCTAACGCTCCGCCCGCCGCAGACCATCGGTGAGCTTTATCTTAAGGACTTTGGTCTCCAGTGCATAACACACTAGAATTACGTCATCCGCGAAGCCGACCAAAAAAGCATCCTCGGGTAACTCCATTCTCAGGAAATCGTCATACATAACGTTCCATATGAATGGACCTACCTTTGATCCTTAGGGAGCTCCGCATGTCATTTCTTCCTTGAGATGACATGCATTGCTCTCGTATAACCCATATGTCGCTAAGATAGTTGTCTATCATTCGCAACAGATAGGTGGGTACCCCTTTACGTTTTAGCGCCTTGATGCAGTTGTCCTATCTCGCGGAATTAAACGCATTCCGTATGTCGATGGACACAAGAGCACAAAATCCTTTCTTCTTGCCCTCTTTGGCTTTCTTCGCCTGGTTAACCACAGTAAGAATTGCATCCACTGTTGACCGGCCTTTCCGAAAGCCAAACTGGTTTTCAGATAGGCTATTTTCGCCTACCAGGAATTTTTGAAGTCTCTCTAGAAACTTACCCATTGTATCCAATAAACAAATTGGTCTGATAACCTCTTTGAGGATTTCGCTGGGTATCCCGTCCCTACCTGGAGCTTTGCCGCTCCTCAACCCCTTCGATACCCTTCTGAGTTCATCAAGCGTGAAGAGCTCCTCCTCTTGAACTACACAGAGAGTGTGATCCTCTCTAGGGGCAGGTTCCACTTGGCAAAACAGCGCTTTTATGATCTTACGGACCCAATGTGGATCGTCTAGGCCAGGGGTTTTCTGCTTTGAAACTAATTTCTTAGTCACAATTTTAAACGCCAAACCCCATAGATCCTTTTTGGACTTTCCTATTAGGTCCTTCCAGCACCTTTGTTGACTACTCCTTATCGCCCGCTTAAAAATTCGTCTGGCTGTATGCCATTCCTCTTGAAGCAAGAGGTCACCCTTAGAGTAAGTATATCTCCTCCTCGATGCATTGCATTCTTTTCTCAAGCGGGCGAGTTCATTGTCCCACCAGTACAGAACACCCTTTCTAGTTCTTCTATGTTGTTGGCGAGGCATAGAGTAGTTGCAAGCATCCACAATAATTTGCCTCGCCTCTCGCACTATCCCCTTTAGAGTAACTGGCCCAGCTACCCAGCCGAGTTCTCTAAAACACCGAGACTCGACCAAGGACTGCGCCAGCCTCTCCCTATTTAGTCTCTTAAGGTTCCTGGAGGGTCTCTTCTTGTCCTTTATATAAGGACCGCTAGACCCTTTTGAATTTTCCTCAGAGACCAAAAACTCAATGTACTGGTGGTCACTCATGGTTACCTCGTCCAACACCTTCCATTCTTTTACTCTACGGGCAAGGCAGGGAGAAGCTATTGTTAAATCAAGAATAGATCCTGATATTCCCCGCCTGAAAGTGAACTTATTACCCCGATTCAACACCGCCAACTGACCTGCCGAGACCATATCGCTGACCAAGATCCCCCTCCTGTCCCGACGGGTCTCTCCCCATTCTGGAGACTTACTATTAAAGTCTCCCGCAATAAGGACGTCCCCGCCGAAAGTTCTAAGACTTTCCTTAAGAGAGCGGATCTCGGAATCGAATTTTTCAAAGGGATCGTTCAGGGAGAAGTAGGAGCTGTCAATACGTACACCCGCCACCTCTGCCCAAACAAACCCCTTATCTGTCTCCAGAAAGTTACCGACGGTGAGATTCGGGTTAAATATGTTAATTCCAGACCTCCTTGATGCATCCTGAAACCAGTCAGAGAACTCTGGCTTCTTATACTGCTCACAAATGAGGAGTACATCGGCCCCTCTCTGTCTGGCAGTCTGCATCAGGAGGTCCTGCGCTATCTTACTTTTACCGAGGTTAATCTGGAGAAACCTGAGCTCTGGATTTCAGCCCTTTCAGGATTTCCCAATACACTGGGCAAGCCTTACTCCCTGGAACGTGTTTTACCTCATCCCTCCATTTATCCACGCGTCATACAACGAGCTATGCCTTTACAATCCTTGCTCTTATGATCAGGGCTACCGCACCGCCAACAAGCATTTTTCCTGTCTGGAACACTGCAGCCGCGTGCCAGGTGACCGTAGCAGAGGCATCTAAAACATCTCTCTACCTCCACCCTGACACGGACCCTGCAATTGACCTAGCCACTCTTTACTCGCCCAATCTGAATAAGGGACTCTGCGTCTTTTACTGGAAGACGCGAAAATAGCGGTCTATTTTCGTGTTACCATACCGAGTAAACAGTTGGCATGGAATCACTAAATTGGGCTTGCCCAGTAAACCCTGGACTACCTGGACTACTCCAGAAACCCCTATGGTCTCGTCGAGGTCCACAATTTCAACTGACCTCAATGAAACCATTGTCGTAACCTCAGCTTTCCCTTCAAGGGCCGTTGTTAGGATGTCACTAAACTCTTTGAGATCCTGTCCCTTTTTTAAAACCAGAAGGATGTCGTTCTTTCTAGTTCTACGGACAGACAGGATCTCTGTTTTTGTTTCATCGGGTCTAACTTCCGCAAACATATCATCGATAACGTGATCAACATTTTGATCTTCGACCGCGGGTATCTTAATCGCGTCCGTATCCCTCTTCTTTTTTTTCTTTTTTCCCTTTGACTTCCCCGCGGGGTTATTTTTAGGGTTTCGTGGCCAAGGGCCAAAACCCTTATAGCGAGACTTCGGTGTCCGTCCGTAGTTTTTACGTCTTAAGTCTTAAGTCTTATACCGAGACTTCGGCATAAGAAGGTCTTAAGTCCTAAGACTTAAGACTTAACTTCGGTATAAGAAGGTCTTATGTCCTAAGACATAAGTTAATGTTAATGTTTGCCATAACAACCGTTGCCATGGTTACCATGGTTCATTACAATTTTTAAAAAAAGGACAATTGATTCCAAATAAAAAATTTACAGTCTTAGGGACAAAAAACAAAAAAAAGATTAAAATTAACTTTTACATAGTTCTAGAATTTTTGTATATTGCTAAAAATAAATTATTAAATTCTTAATTTGTTAAAGTTTTACTTTTTGATAATATATTTTCAATCACTCCTATTCCATATCTTCATTGAAAACATATGCGACATGAAAATACTCGAAAGTACTAAAAGAACCAATTACTTCATTAAAATTTTTAAACAATTAATTCAAAAAAAAAATTTCTAAATAAATTATTATTTATTTTTTTTTTATTCATTCATTATCATTATCATCATTTTTGTCATTTTAGGTCACGAAACCCTATGATGTAGTCGCATTGTGCCTGCTTCTCTGCCTGATTTTTTTCCTACCCTTTTCTTTTTCATTCTTATTTTTTTCCCTCCTTTTACAACTTTAACCCAGGGTTCTTTATCGGTCTCCTTGACCGTTCCAAGATCTTTAGCTTCTGTTTCTTTGGCACATTAATTGAATTTATTTTATTAAAATTTATTCCAAATAATTAAATTTTTTTAGAAAATTTTATGAAAATAGTATACGGAAAGAAAATTATATATTAAATTTTGTAAAAGTATTTCACAATTTGGGGAAAAAGTGAAACAAACCGAAATCTTGATATAAAAAATACTAAACAGTGAAAGAAATAATATGAAATTTAGTATAACAATACTAAATTTCATATTATTTCTTTCACTGTTAAGTATTTTCTATGCCAAGATTTCGGTTTGTTGCACTTTTTCCCCAAATTGTAAAATAGTTTTACAAAATATATAATATGTGACGCGACACGAGAAAAGGGACCTATCGCCGCAAAAGAGAATTTTACAGGGAGAGCGTTTAAAGCGACGCCATGCGCAGAAAACCCGTGTATTTACGCGTACATGCTTAACTTTCGGGCTTTATATTATTAACACTATTTAAGTTTTTCAACTTTTGATTTTTTCACGTGTAAGAGCAAAGAATAATCTATCGAATAGCACCATAATCTCAAAATCGATTTTTTTAACGATAGGTCCCTTTTCTCGTGTCGCGTCACATATATTTTCTCTTCGTGTAAATATTAAAAATCATTAAATTGGAGAACATTTTTCAAAAAAATTAAAATTTTGTCAAATTTTGAAAAAAAACCTTTTCAAAATTGAATTATTTCTAAATATTCAGGTTTAAATGTCTTTTAATATTCCATTTTTATGTAAAATCTGAACTAAAAGTCATTTTTGAATCAATTTTTAATAAAAAAATTATATGATAATTCAATTATTTAAATACAAATAAAGTACAAATGAATAATTTATCAAATAATTAAATGTTTCTTAAACTTGAATTCTTATACATAATTCCATCAAATTTTTTTTAAATAATTGAATTCTTTCGACGAATTTTAATAACATTTTAAAAATAATTACAGTTTTTAAGGAATTCGATTAAAATTTTATTAAAAATAACTAAAATTTAGCAATGAATTTTATTATTTATGAAAATAATTAATTTATAGCGAAGAATTTTATAAAAAAAGTTTTAAACAATTAGTTTTTTTCAAAAACATTTATGCAAATTCTATTTTTAATATTTAAATTAATAAATTTTTTTTTGAATAATTGATATTTTGCCATGAATTTTATTAAAAATTTTTAGAATAATTGAATTCTTTTAACGAATACTATTATTCATGAAAGTATTTAAATTTTGAAATGAATTTTATCAAAATTCCTGAAAATAATTGAATTTTGTCGAAGAATTTTGCTATATATGTTTATAAAGATAAGCAATTTAAATATTGACAATTTTTTTGGGCTCTTTGAAAATAATAGAATTTCTGAGAAGAACTTTATTAATTTTGAAAATAATTAAATTTTTGTGATGAATATTGTTATTTATGAAAATAATTGAATTTTTCAATGAATTTTGCTATTTATGAAGATAATTAAAATGTTGAAGACAGTTTTTTTTAAACATTTTTGAGAATAATTTAATTTCTGGAAAAAAGTTTAATATTAATTAGGATAATTGAATTCTTTCACATAATTGCGTTAAAATTTTTAAAAATAATTGAATTTTGGAGAAGAATTTTATTATTTATAAGGATAATTAAAATTTTGACGAGAATTTTGTAGAAAAATTTGAACATAATTGAATTTCTGCTACGAATTTTATTCCTTTTGAAAATAATTAAATTTAACAAAAATTTTTTTCTATTTTGGAAACTAATTAAATACTTTCAAAGAATTTAATTAAAATTTCTGAAAATAATTGAATTTCTGCAAAGATTTTTTTAAAAATTCGAAAATAATTTAATTTCTGTAAAGAATTTTCCTACTTTTAAAAATAATTGAATTTAACAAAGAATTTGACTATTTTTGAAAATAATTGAATTCTTTCTAAGAGTTTAATTAAAATTTCTGAAAATAATTGAATTTCTGCGAAGAATTTTATTAAAATTTTTGGAAATAATTGAATTAATTTTTTTAATTTTATAATTAAATTTCTGGGACAAATTTTGTTGTATGTAAACATAATTCAAAATTAAAAAGAAGTTTATTAAAATTTTTGAAAATAGCTAAATTTTCGAGAGGAATTCTATTATTTATAAGGATAATTGAAATTTTGACAAGAATTTTGTAAATAATTTTCACAGAATTGAATTTCTGCAAAGAATTCTATTAATTTTGACAATAACTGAATTTAATAAAGAATTTTTTTATTTTGGAAAAGAATTGAATTCTTTCGAAAAATTATATTAAAATTTCTGAGAAGAATTTTATTACTTTCGAAAATAATTTAATTTCTGTAAAGAATTTTCCTACTTTTAAAAATAATTGAATTTAACAAAGAATTTGACTATATTTTTGAAAATAATTGAATTCTGTCTAAAAGTTTTATTAAAATTTCTAAAAATAATTGAATTTATGCGAAGAATTTTATTACTTTAAAAAATAATTGTATTTTGCAAAGAATTTTTTTAAAATTTCTGAAAATAAATTAATTTCTTACAAGTAACACTACCCAAGTGTCATACGCCGATTTTTTGGAAACTTGGTTTTACTACTAAAACATCGAAAAATATTTGACACGTATTTCTTTATATCGGCCTCTTTTGAGTTTTAAGGGTAGAAACCCCCCTTTTAATTTTTAAGGGATGAAATTATTATCTCAGAGAATACTTTTTAGATTTCAATGAAACTTGTTACTCGGGGGTTTTGGGTCGCTGATTACAAAAATAAAGTCAGATTTTTAAAATTCAAAATGTCGGATCCAATATGGCGGCCATTAAAGTTAAAAATCAATCAGATTTGCTTAAAAATCACCACTTGGGGATTTCGAGGTCACTGATTACAAAAATGAAGTCAGATTTAAAAATTCAAAATGGCGGATCCAATATGGCGGCCATTACAATTAAAAATCAGTCAGATTTGCTTAAAAATAATCACTTGGGGGTTTTCGAGGTCGCTGATTACAAAATTGAAGTCAGATTGTCAAAATTAATGATAACAATTTTTCTTTTTTCGTTTCAAAGGTGAAAAATAATGCCTGTTGAACGAACACCTCCTACTAATACCTAAATTTCAAATTCTCTTCTTGATCAATCCGATTTTGCGGGATTTGTAAATACCCCCCTCCTCATTCTACGATGTCTCGGTGAACGGAAGAACCGACACCAGGCCCGTCCGGAACTCAGCCTCCTAGATACCGTCCACCTGCAGCTGAGAGAACTTCACCGCTAGCATAAAATGATCTCATCCCTGGATTCTCAAGGCATACATCAGGCAGTCTTCGAAATCAACTTCCCTTGGGTGGGACTTCACATTCGGTAAACCCGTGATTGCCCCAAACGAGCTTTCCCTAAACAGCAGACTTCGTCCGACCAACAGGGAAACTAGCAAAAAAAGGCAACTCGAGGCTCTGCTGTCCACCCATTAGTTTATCTTCGAGTATATCTACTCTACAAACATCCGTTTCAATTTTTGTTACGTTCGAATTTAACGACTAAATAAGTTCAGTTCTTTTTGATTTGGCCTTTACCGACTTACCTCTCTTTCCCTTAAATAAATTAAATAAATTAAATAAATTAAATAAATTAAATAAAATAAAATAATAATTAAATAAATAAAATTAAATAAATTAAGTTAAATAAATTAACCAGTTACCGTGAGAGTGGAATAAGTAAAAAGGAGTTGCCCTAAATATTCTCGGGTAATCTAGATTACAAATTCTAAAGAAGAGATGTTTCTAATCTCGGAATAAATTTCCAATCCCATGGATAGAAGAGCACCAAGTAGTCTACGACCGATCCCGCCGATGTATCCATATTGGAAAACAAAACCGAGGTACCAAGTATTTCGGAAATCACACTCCCCCCTTTTCGGTAGAGAATCTTGATTATAGTTTATTAAGACGGTATCTGACATTCCGACAGATTACCGAACATTAATTTTAAATGTTTCGTCTTGATTTCGGGAAACCGTTAACCCTGTGAGTCCCCTGACTCAAACCAATTGTATGGTCCACGAAATCAAATTATTACTTCATAAGCCGTTTAACATTCGTTCTTACTACTGCTGTGAAGAAAACAAATGCAGCTACCGGTCTCACACAGTATGAACTAAACCTGTTCATCCGAACAACAAAAGCTCACGCGTCACAATTATGGCCAACGAGACCCCGGACAGTCACTCTAACCGATCAGGAGATCAGAAACAATTGCCCCCACTCTCCAACAATTACTAGATGTCGAGAACGGCCTAAGAGTAGGCCTCCTTCAAATCCCATAGTGACCCACATCTATCCTGCAGCGCATCTGATTCGCCGACGAGGATGACTGAGGAAAAAGATAGTGACCACTCCAGAGGATCCAGTTCGTGTCCCTTCGATTTCGCCGACGATGTAGACCACGAAGAGCCCCAGTTGAACCAGATGGTCAACACTACAATTGTTCGCATCCCTCTGATTCTCCGAAGAGGTAGACCACAAAAACTCCGTTGAACCAGACGGTCAACACTATAACAGTTTATTTCACCCCGATCCGCCGAAGAAAATGCCCAAGGAAAAATCAGTAATCGGTCCAGTGAATCAGTCTAGTAATCCTCCGATTCGCCGACGAGGAAAAACTAGAGAAAATTCTACTGTAACGACATCGAGGGAAGACCTCCTCACCACTCCTGGTTGAGTAGAGGCGACCGAAGTGAATGGTCCCAGTCCGTCGAGGGAAGTCCTCCTCACCGCTCCAGGTTGAGAAGAAGAAGAAGGAAGAAGGAGAGGAAGAAGGAGAAGGAAGGAAGAAAGCTATTCTCCAGCCTCCCTGGGTCCCCCACCGCCTGCCTGCCAATTCCCTCCTAACCACGATGCCAGCTCAAAGGCCCTCATCGTCCGCCTCACTGCCACGTACCAACCCCCCCCCGCTCAACGACGATACCGCAGCATTGAAGGTTACGTTGGTTCCCCATGCAGTTCACCATAAGGGTTAATTTTAATTTTTTCTAAATTCTCGCGGGTCAACCGGACACCCTTAAGTACAAAAATTTCAATCTGCCCTTTTAAGAGTTTCACAGCATCTTTTTGTAAACAAATTTGACGAGAATTTCCCTAACCGTAAAAAAGGGAAATTCGCCCATGTCAGCCTTACCTAAACGCTAAAATTCTACAGCATTTTTTATATAATATCTACGACAATTTTCAATTTATTACGTCAATTTTAAAACATTCTCAAATAATATCAATGTCAGAATTAGGAATGATTGTAGCGGGATACACACTTCTATTATTGTAGCAATAAATATGATACAGATCAATTACTGATATTTTTGTATTTATGGATTTCTCAATTAAATTATTGACACTTTGCAGGAAATTTTTCATTATTCTAGTCTATCAAAACTGTTTGTAATAATCGTGAACATTTTAAACATATAGAGATTTTTCTAAACACTAACCAAAGACAAAATTCTTTAATCGATGAGAAAAGCAAACTACCAAACTTGTGCAGTATAATTTCAACCAAAAGAATAGAAAGGATAAACTTCAACTTTTGTCAGTAATTAAAGAATAAAGTAAGTGACATCAAAATAGTAACCAGCGACCTCGAAAACCCCCAAGTGGTGATTTTCAAGCAAATCTGATTGATTTTTAATTGTAATGGCCGCCATATTGGATCCGCCATTTTGAATTTTTAAATCTGACTTCATTTTTGTAATCAGTGACCTCGAAATCCCCAAGTGGTGATTTTTAAGCAAATCTGATTGATTTTTAACTTTAATGGCCGCCATATTAGATCCGCCATTTTGAATTTTAAAAATCTGACTTTATTTTTGTAATCAGCGACCCAAAACCCCCGAGTAACAAGTTTCATTGAAATCTAAAAAGTATTCTCTGAGATAATAATTTCATCCCTTAAAAATTAAAAGGGGGGTTTCTACCCTTAAAACTCAAAAGAGGCCGATATAAAGAAATACGTGTCAAATATTTTTCGATGTTTTAGTAGTAAAACCAAGTTTCAAAAAAATCGGCGTATGACACTTGGGTAGTGTTACTTGTTGAAAGAATTTTATTAATTTTGAAAATAATTAAATTCTTGTGATGAATTTTGTTATTTATGAAAATAATTGAATTTTACAATGAATTTTGCTATTGGGCAGTTTAATACGAAAAGCAAATGGTGGATCACCAATTTTTCTTAAAGTTTGTAGCTTTGTAGTACTTATGGTACTAAATAACTGTACCAAACAGTTTTGCAAAAAAAAATTTTTTTGCAAGATATTTAGATTTGAAAAATCGGAAACTGAAAAAATGACTTTTTTGAGAATTTTTATTTCGGATTCTACAAGAAAAAGTTATTTATTTAAAATTGTGGAGAAAATATCAATTTTTTATAATATTGAAAGAAAGTTAAGAAAAATTTATTTTTCAATAATTTGTTTAAACAATAATTTTTTATTGTTAAAAAAAGAGCAAAGGACATCTTGGAATTTTCTAGAAAAATTATTTTTTTAAAATTTGAACCTTCCTTAATAAGTGGTTAAATTTTTAAAGAAGTGATTTTTGATATTTTTGAGAAAAAAATTTTTGAAGTTTGCGCTACGAGTTTTTGTGCGTTGCGCTAACTAAGCAGCGCCTATATCAGTGTATCTTAAAAGATGATTTGACCTTTACTGCTCGCACCTAATACATTATTTACTAATTATATACGTATATGTTATTATTATAAACAGTTTAACAATATATTTTTAACTTTTTTATAAACATTATTTTCCTTTTTTAACCCATTAATAGTCATGGGCACAGGAACGCAGGTTTAAAAAGTAACTATTGGGATCCTAGCATAGGATCATAATAATAATTTTTGACGTTAAAAATTAAAAAAAAAAATTTTAAACAATTTGTTATAAACAAATGAAGAAAAATTGATTTTCATAAAAAACTGATAGCGCTATTCAATTCGACGCAAAAAACTACTACGAGAACGTATATTACATAATTTTTAAAAATAGACATATTGTTTAAAAAATGTTATAAACAAGTAGCCTGCATTTATACTTATTAAGGAAGGTTTAAATTTTAAGAAAATAATTTCTTAATTCCATGATGTCATTTGCCCTTTTTTTAACAATAAAAAATTATTGTTTAAACAAATTATTATTGAAAAATTAATTTTTCTTAAAATATTTAAAAAAATCACTTGCCAGCATCACAGTGGGATTTAACATTTAACTTTTTAAAACTGTTTAAATTGTATACCCTTTCATTTAAAACAAAGAACACTTAAATATATTAAAAATTATACCTTGTAGACAGTTTTAGAAAGTTAATTGTAAAAAAATCCCACTGTGATGCTTGCAAGTGATTTTTTAAAATATTTTAAAACTCATTTAACACATCAGGCCCATTTTAGGACTTTTTGAAAAATTTTCTCTATATTATAAGGTACAAAAAAATAAAAAAATAATTAAAAAAAATTCCGGCCCAAAGTTAAAAAAATTAATTTGTTTATAAAAAAATAATTTTCAAAAATTCATAACTCGAAAATTTGGACAATTAAACATAAATAAAAAAATACGTATCTGTTTTTTTTCGATACAGAATTTAAAAAAATATTTTTGGCCGATTTTAAGAGGTCGACTTAAATCTCACGTGGAATTGCCCATATGTATTACATATTTCGTTGAACAGAAACAATAATACTACAATTAAAGTATTTTTTAAATACTAATTTCGTCAAACTAAATACAAACTATTTTCATTATGTAATTACTAAATAAAAAATTTATCACATATTGCGTGTAGTATAATGTGTTGTTACTATTATCAGTTTTTCTTTACCATCAATGTCATCCTGATTAATAGAACATTTTTTTCAAGACAACAAAATATATATTTTACCACATTTAAAAATAATGAAAATTATGGTTTAACAGAAACGATAATACTACAATTAAAGTATTTTTTTAAATACTTAATTTCGTCAAACAAAATAAAAATTATTTTCATTAATTACTAAATAAAAAATGTATTACTTATTGCGTGTAGTGTAATGTGTTGTTACTATTATCAGATTTTTTTATCATCAATATCGTCCTGATGAATAGAACTATTTTTTTCAAGACAACAAAACAGATATTTTAACGTATTTCGAAATAGTGACAATTATCGTTGAATAAAAACAATAATACTTCAAATAGAGTATTTTTTAAATACTAAATTCGTCAAAGTAAATAAAATTTTTTTTGATTAATTACTAAATAAAAAATTAATCACATATTGCGTGTAGTGTTGTTACTATTATCATCTATACTTCCTCTTCAATGTCCTCCTGATGAATCTGTCCATCATTAGCCCGTTTCACCTCACGGGTCACAACCAACACACTTAATAGTGGCATAGGAACTGCTTCCCGAGCCTAAATGTCAGATTTTAAATTCAGTTGCATGTATATTCTGGCATCCAGAATTAAATTTTTTTTATTTAATTTTACATTTTCTGACCCAACATTCAACTTAAAAATTAAAATCTTAGAAAAAGTACGCCTAAAGTTTGCAAATTAAGTGAAATTTAAAAAAAATTAGGTTTGAAATATAACCTTTTGAATATCTCATAGCAGGTCCGTTGCATGTGGACATTATAATGTACAATTTAGGGGAATTTAAAAAATTAATTAAATTTCACAAAGATGTCAAAGTTTAAGCTGGGTAAAATATTGAGAAAACAAATAAATTATAATATTACAAATATAATAACATATAATAAATGTTTTGAAATCTTTGTAAATTTTTTTCATTTTTCAAATTCTCATTAATTGTCCATTATAATGTTTACCGGGAATGGAACTAGAATACTTAAGCTTTATTTTGACATAAGTTTTAATTATATATTTTAAATTGATAAAAAATATATACATACACAGGTCTCCTCAGAGGTGGGCAGGTTATTCTAAAATGTAACGCTACAAACTTGGTAGGGAGTTGTACCAAATGACTTCCAGATTCCAAATTTTCAAAGCGATAAATCGTACCTGATCCTTTTTTCGAATTATCTCTTATACAGATAGTCGGAAACTTAAAAAATTTATTATCTTAATGTGGAAGCTTTGATTCAGAAGACTGCTGATTTTTCGTTACTAAAAATTTTGTAGACAAAGATTTTATAGATGATGATTTTGAGAAAAGTGGGGGTAGGGGAGAGTGGTGCAAGACGGGGTACTTAAAGTTTAAATCGCAAAAAAATAAAAATTATCGAATATATATTTTATTATTTTATTTAATAACCATCTTTGGGAATCAGTCTTTAGTAATAAAGGCGTACAAAGGCCATCTGTTTCTTAAAAAATCATAAAATTAATAATATGGAACAAATTGCAAATCTCCCCATCTTGCCCCACTGGCACGGTACTAAAAAAGCAACCTATTTCAGTCGACAAATTTTACAAGTAAAGCTTTATCTTCGTCATCGACACCAGCACAACTGCACAAAGTCCATTGACCGCAGACAGAACAAGCAGCCCAGCCTTCATTTGAGTCTAAATAATAACCATTACAATTTATAGAGACAAGGTGTATTTTCCACTTTACCATCGCTAATTATTGACTTAACCTGACAAGCTGGTACTATACCGTTTGCACCACTGGACAAATGTACCACCGGAAGTGACGTCATGTTTTTGTCGAGAAAAATGTCTGTTGTTAAATCTTCCGAGAGATGGCGCTAGTGGTTTTTTTAGTGGGTATATTCTTGAAGGAATTGTCGAATGTCAAGTGAAATACAAAAATACAATATCGCTTTCTTTAATGTGAAGTGTTAATTAAATTGAAAAATGAATTAATTAGTTAATTAATTATCTGATTAATTAATTAATTAATTGAATTAAATAATTTAGTGTTCAGTTGCAGAGATTGTGGATAACATTTTTGAGGTTGGTTGATGTTTTTATTTTATATTAATAATAAATAATATTAATAATAATAATAATTATAATTATAGAAAGTGAATTTATCATTCGGCAGTTAAATATTAAGAAGAAAACTATCAATAATCCGAATCAAATTTATACAAACAAATTAAATATCTTAAATAAATCTCTATAAGCTCTTAGATTTCATATGTATCGACACATATGCTCAGTGGTCAGAGCAGTCTACTGGCAATAGAAAGGTCGTGGGCTCGTATCCCACCATGCTACCGTTTTTTCTGGATTCTTTGATAATTTTGAAATTATTAATTAATTTCGAAAATATTTTTCAGATTAAGCAGGTTTCTGTATTCAGGCAGTTGTGCTGTCAATACATATGAAATCTAAGAGCTTATAGAGATTTATTTAAGATATTTAATTGGTTTGTATAAATTTGATTCGGATTATTGATAGTTTTCTTCTTAATAATAATTTATTTATTTATTTCATGTATCAACGGGCTTACAAAATATAAAACGCCCTTTCGTACAAAGTACTAATATAAGAAAAAGAAAGAAAAATGTATAATAATAACATAAATAATATAATAAATAATGAAAAATAATAATAATAGTTTAAAGAAATGTCGAAATTTTTTTTAATAACTAATTTATAAAACATTTTATTTTTAAATCGTTTTTATTTATATTTTTTCTTTGGAATAATTTAATAATAAGATTTCTTGATATTTTTAAAAGCTCTTTATTTTTATAGAATTATTTTTTATTTTAAATAAAAAATGAGATTATTTGTTATTTGTTATTTGAGAATTATTTGTTGTACTAGCAATCTAACGCGCGCGTCTAATACTTCGTTTTGTGATTTAGGCATTTTGAAATAAAGATTATGGGTCAGTATTTCTTAAAACGATCACGTAAATAAATTAAAAAAATTTAATTTTCAAAGTTTAATAATTTTGCTTCGTCATGAGAAAGTATTATTATAGTAAAATTTTTCAATCTCTATTTGTTAATGTTTTATGACCCTTACAAAAAGCACTAAAAATCGCTTTGATTGGACTATTTTTAAATCTAATTAGATTAGAAATTACGAAATTATTGGTATTTTAACAACCAAAAATATTAAAGAAAATCTTATTTTTTAAATTCTAAAAAAAAGTTGAAATAAATTTTAAATTCTCATATAAATAACTTGTAGAACTTTAAAAATTGCTTTGATCCAAGTATTTTTAATTTAATTCGATAAGAAATACATTGTTATTTGAAAAAATAAAAATTATAAAAAATATTATTTTCAAATATTTTAATAAAAAGAATTTTATAAAAGCAGAAATGTTTAATGTAATAAAATTTATATTTTATTATTATTTTTATATTATTTAAAGTCTTAATGAAATAAATACAACATATTCTATTATTTTTATATTATTTAAAGTCTTCATGAAATGAATACAACATATTCTATTACTTTTATATTATTTAAAGTCTTCATGAAATGAATACAATATATTCATCTTTTAACTTGGCAGCGGTTTTTTTCTTTTTAGTGTGATCGAAAAAACTTAAGAAATTTTTACACGGAAGATAAATAAAATTTTTTTGAATCATTTTTTAAATTGAAGTATTTAAGTTTTATTTACGTCAATTATTTTAAACATTTGGTACAGAAAATGTAAATTCATTTTAATTTTAACTTTTTCGATTCTGTTTCATTTGAAACCTCATTAACTTTTCTTTTCATTGATAAATTTCCTCCAAGAACAACTGATGGCTTCATTCGTTTTTCATTAGTTTTTGTAATAAGTCTAGCATCGGTCACTTGCAGAAAATATTTTCCATCTAGAAAAAAGTTAAAAAACATTACATTAAATTAAAAATTTCTTTGAAACTGTTAAATTATTTTAATTGAAAAAAGAAATTATAGTATTGAATATTTTTTGACATTTTATTTTAAAAGTTTTGGAAGAAGGTTAGTTTCAATTTAATATTTTTTGGTATCGTTGAATACAAATCTCTAGTCAAAACTAAACAATTTTAAATGGCAACTTCAAAATGCCGAACGCAAAATTATAAATAAATCTAATCTTGAGAAAAAACTACTTTCAATTTAAATTGTAAATTAAGCTAAATATAATGAAACTTTAGTTGGATTTTAAAGTTTTTGTTTACTACATTAAAACCGCTATTTTTAATTTTAAAATTTTAATTAAATACACTAATACGACAAACACTGAATAACTATTTTTAGCCATATTAGTTTACTTAAAAATTTTTTACTAACCACTTTAAATTCAATATTTAAATTTTTTAATTTTTAATCAAATATTTAGATTCAGTATCCTAAATGATTCTGTGTAATTATTTTTAAGCGGTTTAGTTGTATTAAATATTTTTTAGTGGACATTTCTAATTTTTTAATTTATATTAAAAATATGGATTTCGTAATTACAAAAATTTGCAGTTAGCACTTTTACACATTTCAGATTAAGTAAAGTTTTGTTCTTTTTTATAAAATTATTATATGATATTATCACTCGGTTTGTTCTTTTTTGATAGTCTGTAGGGGTCATACTTTTTTGTAATAAAAAAAAATAATAATAAAATAATAATAATAATAATAATAATAATAATAATAATAATAATCATCTTCCATATCAACATCATTATCCTCTAGATTAGAATCAGTAGAACTTTCTTCATTAGTTTCATTGTTTTCTCCATCTTTAGGGTCTAAAAATATTATTGCAACATATCAAATAAAAAAGGCGAACTAATTATTTTTTTCAAAAACAGAAAATATTTAAGTTGTCGAGTATTTAAAGATAAAAATTAATGTAAAAAACACAATTAAAATAAATAAAGCAAAATAACATTACGCATAAACAAAAAAAATTAACTAAGTTTAAAGAAAACAAATATTTCTATTTATTATAAAAATTCTGAATCTTTAATTTCAAAACATTAAAAACTTGCAAGAATAATAAAAATTAGGAATACTTAATAAATAATGTAAATTTTAATTTACACAAACTTTCAAATGCAGGAAATAATTTTTAAAAAAATAAACTTTATTTATAAATTTTGACAAATTACATACTATTTTTAATTAAGGGAAAGACTTACAGATTGCCGCATCTAAGATTTTTTGCTCATAATTAATAAAAAAAAGAAAATTAATTTACATGAACTTACCATCACAAAGGGAACCTACAAAGCTACAAATTTGACCCATAGATAATGTAAATTGGCAAAAAATTAAATTTTTACATAAAATTTTAAAAATAATGTAATATCAGGGTTACAAAATTTAAGCGTGCAGATTACACACCTTGAAAAATTTATAATAATATGGTGGTTATTATTATAATATAATAGCATGGTTGAAAGGGATAATATCAGTCAGGTAGCAGCGAGCGGCTGAAGGCTTGTCACTGTTACCCGACTGGCAGTATCCCTTCCAAGCCTCGCGTTCGTCCCCTTATTTTATGTAGCTCT